ATTTGATCTCTTTTTTTCCAAGCGAGAAACCAGTAAATTATGAAGCGTCTGAACGAACACCTTCTGAACATGTTTGAGATCTGCAGAAGCAAGCAAGGGAGGCAACAACCTGTCCAACACCTTGAGAAGGAAGGCGTATAAACCCGACCAGAAGTCCCATAATTTTCGGGCAAAAAGATACAGTTTCTTAAACTAGTCACTAGTCTTCGGGGTGCTGTCGAGCTTTTAGGATTGAGGGTTTGGGGTTTCGGGATTTCCGGTGAGGGCTTTTAGGGTTTGGGGTTTAGGGTCCAGGATTTCAGGGCTTACGCATTTAGGGGCTTTCTTACGGAGCTCCTAAAGCCTAAGCCCTAAGCCCTAAACCCGGCAAAGGAGGGCGAGCTTTTCGATGCGGCCCACCTTTGGGAGTTCGAAGATCTTCGCATCTCGGATCCCAGAGGTCCTTGAAGGGCTACTTGGGGGTCTTTAGGGGACTTAGTAAGGGCTCCTTTAAAGGGGATTCTAAGGGTTCGTTTAAAGGGCTCTATAAGGGTAGTATAGGGTTCAGGGTTCAGGGACTTAGTAAGTAGTTAGTAAGTAGACTTACAAGTACCCTAAAAGGGGCCCTAATTGGGGTTATGGTACTTATAAGTCCCGAAAATAACCAGTTACTAAGTCCAAGGGCTAGTTGCTGTAAAGGACTCCTTTGACGGCGTCTTGCAGGGTTGCGATAGGGACATACGATTTAGGGTTCAGGGATGGGTTAGATGGGTTTCTACAAGGGTGTTCTTGTCGGGGATTTTGAATTTTCTTTACATGTGGTTTTCAGGGATTTGCACGAGTTTTTACAAGGAGGGCTTTGCAACATCTCTAGAGTGTCATAAGGTTTTTAAGTCTGAAGCGGGCTTGAACATTTTGTGTAAAGCCCCCCCAAAATCCTACCTGAACCTTTCAGGGTCCTTTAACTCCTAGAAGCTGAGTGGATACACTTTACACTTTGAGGGACAATATAAACCACTATAAAACTGTAAGTGTACATTTTTTGGGACTTATGAACTCAGCAACTAAGAATTTAGTAGGTGCAGTGTTCGCAGGGTTAGGGGTTTGAGCCCGCGAAAGCTGCACAAACCCCAGACTTCAAGCCACGAACCTGAAAAACGCACCTCCCAACCCCAGACTTGCACGTGATTGTGCTTGTAGGGCTCAGTCGAGATACCACACCCGAAGTTGGAGTTTGTGTTCCCTTCTTAACCATTGTCAGGACTTTGCATTTTCTACAGGGCCCTAAACCCTAAACCCTAAACCCTACACCCTAAACCCTAAACCCTAAACCCTAAACCGGGGTTCAGTTTTTGGAGTTTCGGAGGCCCTGAGCCCTAATGAGCTTCGGTCAGCCTAATCCCAAAACCGGCCCTAAACCCTACAGGGGAGTTTCCGAAATTAGGTGTACCTTATTTTGGGGTCCTTGTAATAAGGATCCTACTATTTAGGGTACTATATTAATAGTGTCCCCGATTTTTCGGAAACTCCCATATCTTCGAACCTGAAGCCCAGAGACCTGTATGGTATAGTACACTACGGCATAGTGTATCATAAACGTAATATATGATACTGTTGATGATGTAAATCCTGCATTGCCTTAAGCACCCAAAAGTATGGGAATTATGGTATACTCCTCATTATGGGTCATGCAGGATTTCTATCATCAGCCGCAGAAAAGCGACCTTGGAGGATGGGGGACTTAGAAACTGGGTCAAGTGCTTGGAAGTAGGTGCTAAAGATCATCATGCATGCGTCGCATAGGAGTCTTGATCTTGTTTCTGTGAAGTAACATGAAGTCCGCAGCTGGCCCAGTGCTGCTTCACATTCGAGGCCGCCATACTGCGTAGCTTGTCAAAGCTGCCTGCTTCGCTGATGGGAGTCGGATTTTTAGGAGGGGTGGAACTGGACGGAAATCATCGTTCAGGGACGGATGTTGCACAAACCACACTGATTCAGCAATGTGAAAAAGAAGTGAATAATTGCCAAGAAAATTCCTGGGTTCCTTACAAGGGTATCATTACACACCACAAACCCTTGCTCTACTTGTTGAGGCCTCTCTAGCTTCGTTTTACATATGGGAGTTTCCGAAAATAGGGGACCCTGATATAGTACCCTAAATAGTACGATCCTTATAATAAGGACCCCAAAATAAGGTCCCATATCACCTGCTTACGACATCCCCCGAGTCTCTCAACTAAGGCCTCAGCCGTAAATTTGGAATGTCCCTCAATTCATGTACTTGGGTTGTGGGGGATACTGGGTTGTCTGCATGCGGTTGAAGCTATGTTGGTTGAATCAAATTGCCCATGAGAATTGCATACACACATCATACCCTCTCATAGTCAATACATTCTGAAGTGTATACCGTGCATTACAAGCCAGTAAGGCATGTTCATCATTATCCTTATTAATCTTTGAAATCCTATACCCTCATCCCTAAACCCTAAACCGCTTTTTATTATGCTCTATTCATAACTTTATTGACAAATCTTATACCCTAAACCCTAAACCCTGTTTTATGATTATAAATCCTATGAAAAAAGCCCTGCTCTTGAGGCCAGGTGCCTCGGGCGGCTTGTGCCCTGCAACATGGCCCGGGGGCTCTGGTTAAGGGCTTAGGGCTTAGAGGTTCCGGGTTCGGGGTTTAGGGTTTAGGGGTTTAGGGCTCAGGGGCTTAGAGGTCCCGGGCCTAGGGGTTTAGGGTTTACGGCTTAGGGCTTAGGGTTTAAAGTTTAGGGTGTTGGGCTTAGGGCTTAGAGGTTTAAGGTTCAGGCGTTGAGGGTTCAGGGTTTAGGGTTTTTTGGGTCGGAATTCATAGCAAGAGTATCCTCTTCCAGTCCTCGTTCTGTTAGAGCATAGTCTATCCCAAACTCCCAAACCTGGGTTCTTTAGAGGTTTGGGCCCTGAGGGTTCAAGTTTAAAGGGGTTTAGGGCCGTACGGGCTTCAAGCAGGGCTTCTGAAAATTGAGGATGCTTTTTTGCGGGCGTCCTACTAACGAGGATCCGAGTATCTAGGCACTTGATGTTGGGCCCTAAACCCTAAACCCTGAACCGGTGCCTAATTCTTGGAAACTCCCATGGGGCTTCGGGGTGTGGGGTCATGGTGAGCCGTTGGGCTTGAGGCTTGTTATCGGGATCTCGAGGCTTTTTGGGGATGGCTTCAGGGTTCAGGGTCTGCGGTTTCGGGTTCAGGATGTCGGTGGTTTTGGGAGTTTAGGGTTTAGGGTTTAGGGTTTATGGTTTAGGGTTTAGGGTTTAGGGTTTCGGGGTGCGGCGCTTGGAGCAGTCAAAGGAAGTATTTTGCTGGAAGGCTCCTCAGTTTTTCTAGGGCCTTATACCCGGGAGTACATGGGTGGTTGTCAAAATTGTGGTCTCTTTTTGGGTCCCTAGTATAGTACGGCACCTAATATTAAGGGTACCCAAAAGGGGACCCTAATTTTGACAACCACCCACATGGAGGTTTCAGGTTCAGGAGCTTTGGAGGTTTTTTGGGCAGCGGTGAACCTTGAGCCGAACTCTGGCGCCTCAGCTCTCAAGCCTCGAAGCTCTCTCTTTCTGTTTCAAAAAGCGCTACTTTCAGGGTTTGTTGAGGGTTCCTTTAGCGGCATAGTCACGTGTTCCAGGGTTCGTTTCGGCAGCAGCAGTCGTAGCGGTAGTGGCAGCAGCGGGAGGAGTAGTAGTAGCAGCAGTAGCAGCAGCAGGAGTAGTAGTAGTAGTCGTCGTCGTAGTAGTAGTAGTAGTACTTAGTAGTAGTAGTAGTAGTAGTAGTAGTAGTAGTAGTAGTAGTAGTAGTAGTAGTAGTAGTAGTAGTAGTAGTAGTAGTAGAGTATAGCAGCAAGGTTTATACCAATGATAGGGAGCTTCGCGCTATACGTCAAAGTACATTCTGCAACTACCCCCTTTACAACCCCCATGACGCCTTGTCATTGCGTGACTTTCGTCGCGGCAGGCCTGGGTGTGAATGGCATTGCCATGTCTGCCACCGGACAGCACCTTGTGTCGGTTTGAGGGAGCACAGCCTTTTGTCTTGAGGGCTTCCTCCTTTACGGGCTCCTTTAAAGGGTTCCCTAAATCCTAAACCTAAAACCGGCTCCTTTAAAGGGTTCCCTAAACCCCAAACCCCACGTTTGCGTGGTCTTTTGGCGCTTTGCACTGTATCTGTCGGATAGCAGCTTGAGAAGCCACCACGGTTTAAGGTTTAGGGTTTAGGGCTTAGGGTCGGTTTAGGGTTTAGGGTTCGTGCTTTCAAACGCTGTTTCGGGTTTTCGCGCCTAAACCCTAAACCCTTAGGGTTTAGGGTTTTAGGCGCTTTCATGGAGCTCGGCTCACCCACTTTGCAAGGAGTTCGGGAGTGTCTGGGCCAACCCCAGCAGCATGCGCCCCCCATGGGGAGCTGCAATAGCCAGAAAACGTAAACCCTGAGGCGCTACTAGCGTAAACCCCTAGGGTTTTGGGTTGGGGGTTTAGGGTTTAGGGTTTTGGGTTTAGGGTTTAGGGTTTAGGCACCTTTCTGAACCCTGAACCCTTAAACCATAAGCCAAGTCGAACTTCTTGGTCTCGCGGCTCAAGCAACTGGCGTCAGACTGATGCCGTATGCTACGTGGATATCCGGTGTTACACTCAGCATAACAGACTCTTCTAACATAATAGGCTTCCTGCAATTGAGAGCTACATGCAGGACACTGACAATACCAACAATAGTACTAACAATAACAACGGCTATGCCCACAACAAGAAAAACCATAATAGCAACATTACGCAGGATAGGTATGACATAAGAGCAAAAGCACGTACACCAGCAACGATCAACATAAGCATTTGTCACTATAGCTATTCATTTCCTTCAAGGTAAAAGCCAGAAAGTTGGAATATGATTATCCTAACCCTTCTATGGTAATTTATAGAGTATCCTACCATGAAACCATATTCCAACTTTCTGGAGTTCCCTGTAAACCCCCGATCTGCTTGTGCCTCCCATCATGGCGGCCTCCACTTTGCTTCCGGGGCGAATCACCATCACCGTGAGCACGGCGACCCTTGGCAGATCCCTGAAACCTAAACCCTAAACTCTGAACCTTGAAACCTAAACCCAACATCCCAAACCCTAAACCCCTAAACCCTAAACCCTAAACCCCTAAACCCTAAACCCTAAACCCCTAAACCCAACATCCCAAACCCTAAACCCCTAACCCCTAAACCCTAAACCCCTCAACCCCTAAACCCTAAACCCTAAACCCTAAACCCCTAAACCCTAAACCCCTAAACCCTAAACCCTAAACCCCTAAACCCAACATCCCAAACCCCAAACCCCTAAACCCTAAACCCTAAACCCCTCAACCCTAAACCCCTAAACCCAACATCCCAAACCCCAAACCCCTAAACCCTAAACCCTAAACCCCTAAACCCTAAACACTAAACCCAACATCCCAAACCCTAAACCCCTAAGGTAGCCTTCTGAGCCATAGAAGGTTTTGGGAGTTTAGGGCACCCTAACTCTCAGGACCTGGGGAGCCCCAAACTTGAGAGCTTAGGGTCCCAGAGACTCCAATAATTAAGGAATATTCCTTAAATCATATAAGGGATCCTACTATAATTTAAGGAATATTCCTTAATTAAGGGATATTGGAGTCTCTAGCGTTCTAAAATTGGGGGCCCTAAACCCAAAAGCGCTGAAAAGGCCCAAAGGCCTGAGAACACCAGATGCTACTATAAGCCTATAGTATGCCCTACAAGTAGTATATAAGCTACTATAAGCCCTATCGTCTACCCTATATACTTTATAGTATATACATATATATAGTTTACCCTACAGTATGGGGGTCGCAGGTCGGGTGCGAGCTGCACCATCGCAGCCCTGGCGTCGGGGCGTGTGGACCAACTTCATGGGGCCATCGAGAGGGTCTTGAAGATCCCGACCTGCGTGCAGAATCTCATCATCGCTTGTGACTGGGATCCTTGTTAAGGTGATGGTCTAGGCTGCCGCAACATGGATATATGGTTGTTCAGAACCCCAAGGACCCAAACATGGCTAGGATCCTTGCTTTCAGGATCCCGAAAAGCGCATGCCTGATTCTTTCCGTCCCCCCCCCACCCTAAACCTAAAAGCCCTTAAACCCTAAACCCCTAAACCCTAAGCCCAAAACCTTAAACCCCTACACCTTAAACCCTAAACCCCAAGACCTTAACCGTTAAGTCCTAAATCCTTAAACCCTAAACCCCTAAATCCTTAAATCCTTAAGCCCAAAACCTCAAACCTCTAAAGCCCTAAAAACCCCCTAAATCCTCAAAGCTCTGAGGCGAGGGCGGCTCAAGGGAGATCACGAGCCACGAGCTCCTCTCCAGCCTTCCCCTGGAAAGCTGCTGGGCTTTGGAGTACCATACTTCAGTACCTTTTTTTCTTAATGGAACCATTATGAAAAAAAGTTCATACTTTTTTCTTCCTGGTTACTTAAAAGCCCAGGCTGCCAGAATCAACTCACCGTCTTCAACAGCTGGCCGAAGGAGCCCCTTGAGTTCCTCTATAGGGTTTACTTAAAGGCTCATGGGACTTAGTAAGTAAGGTTATAAGTAGGTTATAATTAGGATAACCCCACTCAGGGGACTTATAACCCCAATTATAACCTACTTAGTAAGTCCCATGATCCTTCAAGTAGAGTTTAGGGTTTGGGGGGTTTAGGGTTTAGGGCTTAGGGGTTTTAGGGTTTCGGGCTTAGCGGTTTAGGGGTTTACAGGTTTATAGGTTTAGGGTTTAGGGGTTTAGCAAGTCTTGTTATACGGGCCTGAACACCACGATTCCTTAAGGACATCAACCCCCTGACAGTCCTGATGGCCGAAGCAGTCAAGCGGAACTCTAAAGCTTGAGCCCTCGAAGCTCTAAAGCCCTGCACCTTAAAATCCTTTACTCTAAACCCCAGACCCCTCATAGAACCTGAGTATAAGATAAGGCTTCGAACTCCTTATTAATATAAGACGTAAGACCCCCCATTGAGACCTTTGCAAAATCTGTATACCCCCAGTTTATAAAGTCCTGAGCCGGCCGTCGGAGCCCTTCGCCGGCCCTGGGCTCCAAACTCCTTGAGTTAGAGCCCATACTATAATTAATACACTATAGTATTTTGGAATATACTAGAATAGTATGGTATAATGTACTATAACTATACTAGAATGAGAACCCTCGTCGTAACACCGAAATCCTAAATAAATCTTGAACCGGAGCCTTTCTCCTAGTAGTAGCCCGTACAGATAACCTTTAAAGGAACCCCCCCATACCCAGAGAACCCAATACCCCTTAATTACGGAACATACCTTAAATCACATTAGGGATCCTACTATAATTTCAGGTATATTCCTGAATTTTGGGGTATTGGGATCCCTTAAACCCTATAGATCCCTTATAGATCCCCCTTAAAGGAACCCTGGATATTCCCTGATTGAGGGGGCTTGGGATCTCTGGGTAGTAACCCCCAAAACAGCCCCGACGGGCTCCGGGCCATGGCAAGAGCTTGAAGAAGCCTTTTTGGGAGGGCCAAGATCAGGGCCAGGCGCAGGCGGCAGGGCAGGGGGCAGGGCGGCAGGGCGGCAGGGGCAGCGAGGGTACGCAGGGGGAGGGCAGGTGGCCGGTTTTGACAGCGAGGGAGGCAGGGCCAGGGCCAGCAGGGGCAGGTTCAGGATCAGGGCCAAGGCAGCCAGGCCAATGCCACAGACCAGACTCGGCAGCCACAGAGCAGGCCAGAGCTCCGGCCAGCTCGGCCAGGGCCAGGGCAGGGCCAAGGCCAGGGCCCGGACCATCATCGTCGGGCCAAGGCCAGCCAGGGCTAGGGCCGGCCCAGGCAGGCCCAGGCCAGGGCCAAGGGATGGGGCGCTCCGGGGTTCGAGGTTTAGGGTCCTTTTGTTCTGATTGGCTAGCATGCCTGTCGCATGCGCCAGCACCTGAGCCGGTGCTGGGGCTCCTTCGCTGCGCCTGTCGCGCCAGCTACGGAGCCAGCCTCACTGACGCTTCGGCACGCTCGCTGCTGGTATTCGCAGCGCCCGCAGCTCGCTTCAGTTTAGGGTTTAGGGTTTAGGGTTTAGGGTTTAGGATATACAATGTACCATAAACGCACCTTAAGGTACCGTAGTATACCATAATCTACTAGGATAAACTCGAATATACTATACTATGCTATACCGTGCTATACTATACTATACTATAATACACTATAGTATACTATAATATATTAGAGTATATAGTATAAGCTACGAGTTAAACGAGAAGGAGAATATACTTCAGTATATTGGAACTATGGTATAATGTACTCATTATACTAGAATTATAGACTGTACTAGAATGTCATGGCAGGATCCCGCGGAGACGGTGGAGAAGGTCAAGGCCGCATCCCGGTCTCCGACGCCGCGGCTTGGCTCCTTCTTTTGTCCGGGGGTTCCATGGGATCCATTTTAAGGGTTCTTTAAGGGTATGTAGAGGGGTTTTAGGGGTTCTAGAAGGGTTCCGCAAGGGTTCCATGAGGTATCTATAAGGGTTTTAGGGGTTCGATCAAGGGTTCCATAGGGAGATCAAGGGTTCCAAAAGGGATTTTTGGGGTAGCATAAGGGATCGATAAATGTTCTAGAAGGATTCGGAAGGGGGGTGTGGGGGTTCCGTTGGGGGTCAGGGGTTAGGGGGGGTTTAGGGTTCTCGAGGTTGAGGGGGTTCCATGCGCCCACAAGGGATCCCTTAAGGGTACCCTTTTGGGGTTCTACGATAGGTTCCCCTTTAAGGGTACTATAGGGTTCTACAAGGATCTATAACTACAAGGGTTCTATCTGGGAGAAATAGGGTTCTTTTCCTGTAAGGGTTGTATAACGGGGGGTTAGGCTTCTTTTTCTATAAGGGTTCTACAAGGGTTCTAGAAGTCAGGGTTGGAGGGCGTTAGGGGTTTAGGGATCTTCAGGGTTGAGGGGGTTAGGGGTTTAGGGTTCTTAAGGGGGTGGGAGTTAGGGTTCTTAAGGGGATAGGGGGTTCAGGGCTTTTAGGGTTTAGGCTTTAGGGTTTAGGGTTTAATGCGACCAGAAGGGCTCGACAAGGGTGGTTCCGTAGGGGTTCTATACCTCTTTATAAGATTTCTGCAAGGGTTCTACAAGGTTTCGATGAGGTATCCATAAGAGTTCTGTAAGGTGTCTGTAAGGTTTCTATAAGGTATCCATAAAGTTTTTATGAGGGTTTTAGAAGAGGTCTAGAAAGGTTTGGGGGGTTCGGGGTTGGGTACTTCTTTCAATTACTTAAAGGCTCATGGGACTTAGTAAGTAAAGTTAATAGTAGGTTATAACTAGGATAACCCCACTTATGAGACTTATAAATCCCAATTATGACCTCCTTACTAAGTCCCATGATCCTTCAAGTAGCCTAAACTACCCCTTATAGAGCCCTTATATTATAGATCCCTAAACCCTAAACCCTTTAAGGAGCCCTTTAAGGAACCCTAAGTCCCATGATCCTTCAAGTAGAGAGACCTTAAGGGGTGTAGGGGGTTCAGGGTTTGGGAGTTTCGGGGCTGAGGGTGGCTCTTCGCTTCGGAAGGTCTGGGGGTTCAGGGGGGCTCAAAGTTTCTGAGTTTAATGTATAAGAACCTGATTAAGAAACCCTGGGCCTACAACCCCCCAACTGGTAGTATTCATATAAGGAACCCTAATAAACGGCCCAAGGTTTCTTCATCAGGTTCCTACATTAGGGGAGTTTGTGGTTCAGGGCTCAGCGGGTGGCCCTTGACTTCCGTAGTTCTGATCGTTGTTGCGCTAGAGGCGCCTTACAGGGGTTCATATCAGGAAAAATGATTTTTGTGGCTGTGTTTGTTAATGGATTTCTTATGGAGTTCTCATAGGTTCCTCTTACAAGATTTATATTTAGTTCTCTTACTCGCACTTATGGAGTTCTCGTAGGTTCCTCTTACAGGATCAGATTTGGTTCCCTTAGTACCGTAGCCCTATAAACCGTAAACCCAGCTGTCAGGCAAACTGCAGCAGCTGTCGCACGGTGCTTGACCTTTGAAGACAGCTGTGTGCAAGCTGCCGCACTGCAGGCATGAAGGGCCCAAAGAAGGCTTACGGAATCCTGAACCCTCGCCCTAAACCTTACCATACACAGGGCTCCTTCGTGTTGGGGTCCGTGTCAGGGTCCCTTATTGCTTAAACCCTAAATCCTAGACCCGCGTTTAGGCATCAAGTTTGTCTGGCCTTGTAAGGGGAGGAAATTCCAGAATCCCGTGAGTCTGCGATGTTTTGAAGATGAGGGTTGTTAGGGTTCCTTTAGAGGGCTCTGCAGGAGCTGCTATAAGAATTCCATTACTAAGGGCCTCAGCAAGTAGAATATGGGTTTCGCGGTATATCATACTGTAATGAAAGAGGGACTGGGTCGGACAGATTGTTTAGGGTTTAGGGTTTTTCGAATTGTTCCGGCCCCTGCATGAGGCACTGTCATGGATGGGAAAGGCAGGCAAGCAGCATGCACCTGAAATTGCCGAGAAGCTGCAGATGGAGCTACCAAGGAGGTACCACTATGGTGTGCGCTCCTGGGTTCGATTTTGTGAAGTTTTCCGGGTCCGATTCTCTCAGGTTTCACAGCACTCGCGTCGAGGATAGTGGGTCTGAAGGCCATTATTTGGGCGTTTCCGAAAATAGGGGACCCTAACATGGTACCCTAAATTGTAGGATCCTTTTTGTACGGCCCCCCAAACTATGGTGCCCCCTATTTTCGGAAACTCCCCTTTAGGAGAGTAGGTGACAGTTCGGCCCCTGGCCCCTTATGGATCACCACACTGTTAGACTCAAGTAGCTATGCTGGGGGAATATGGCACGTCTGCTTTCCTCATCCGTGCCCATTGTGGTAGCTTAGGTTCTTAGGTTCCTGCGCACCCTGTAAGATCCATACAAAAATCCTGCGAGTCCATCGTAAAACCCTTGCCAGAGCCCAGGCCTTAAGCCCTTGGGTAATGGTATTGCATTTGAAGCTACATAGCAATAGTATCATGGCCTCCAAAACCCTGTTCCAATTATTGAGGCCCCTATGTACCTTTATAGATCTCTTACAGACCCCTTTAAAGGAACCCTACTCCAATCATAGTATTCCCTTACAGTCCCGAATCTGCTTGTGTAGAATGTGGCCAAAAGCCCTGTTCTAATCACGCGTGGCCCCTGTACAGGCCCGAACATAGGAACCCTTACAGCCTTACAGAACCCATCAAAGAAGGCCTTAATATAAACCCTATTCTACTGCAACAAAAATATGTCTAAACCCTAGGCCCTAAACCCTAAACCTTGAACCCTAAACCTTGAGGACCCTGAACCCTATTCTACTACTGACAAAATCTCTCACAACAGCCCAGGCTTGCCAACTGTGGAGGGCAGACAACAGCAGCCCGGCTTTGGTGACCTCAGGTAGGGTTTAGGGTGAATGCAGGTCCAGGGGTCTTAATAACTTTCCATAGAATCCTTTTAGAGGGTTCCTAGTGGGTTTCTTTGAGTTTTTTTTGCAGGGGTTGCTGTTGGGGGTTTAGTTAGTATAGGGTAACTAGTACCTGGCGGATGAGAAGAAGGTTTCGGCATGAATATCGGGCGGAATCCGGATTCAGGTAGGGTTTACGGTTTAGGTGTATTTCAAGCTATCAAATTACGACAAAATGCGGATATTCTATTCGAGTGTAGCAGCTCAACAGGGTTCATTGGATCCGTAAGGTTTTTGCGAACGAACTTGATTTACGCGACCGTCATAAGAAGCATGCTATTTGCACATCCGTACGTTTGCAGCTTCCCGACAGTCTGAGCCTAAGCCCAACCCCCAAATCAACTCTATACACGAAACCCTTAACCCTAAAGCCTACACCCTAAGCCCTAACCAGAAGCCTCAAGGAACCCCACAACACCCAAAACCCTAACACGCCGAACCCTGCACCCTGCCTTTGTCATAGTTGGGTAACATTTTACATGTTTATGGGTACTTAATCCCAATAAGGAATAAAAAGCTGAATTTTTAATCCTATCTCAATCATAAACTCGGAACCCTTAGCAAGAGCCCAGGAGGGCGGTGGCGATTACTGCCATAGTCGCCTTGTCCTGGTTAGAGGAGAGGCTTTCAGCAAAGGGGGTGACGCTGACATCGCAGTTTAGGGTTTGGGGTTTGGGGTTTAGGGTTTGGGGTTAAGGGTTTAGGGTTTGGGGTTTAGGGGTTAGGGTTTGAGGTTTAAGGTTTCGTGTTCAGGGTTGAGGGTTTCAGGTATGTCATGATCTCGAGAGCGGACCATCACATGGTCTGGGTCTATCACGGACCTTCAGATAGATCTGGATCATACATAATATGATGATTTCAAGTTTTATCATCAACCCTAAACCCTAAACCCCATAGATCTCTCAAAGGAGGAAACAGGCGCATAAAAAACCTGGTAGTTTCCTGCTTGCCAGGAGCATCCATGGGCAAACCAGACCTCATCCGTTCCCCAGAGCATCCATGGGCCAAAACCATGATAACGTCCACCAAGACCTTATCCGTCCCCGGAGCATCCATGGGTCAACCATGATAACGTCCACCTAAACCACACATCTGCTCCCCAGTGCACGCATGGGTCAACCCTGGTATCAACCACCCAGACCTCATCCTTTCCCCAGAGCATCCATGGGTCAACCGTGACATTATCCCATCCAGGCCTCATGTGTTCCCAAGGGCGTCCATGGGCCAAACCATGATAGCGTCCACCACGACCTTACCCGTTCCCGGAGCATCCATGGTCCAAAACCAGAACAATGTCCATCCAGGCCTCACCCTTCCCCAGTCCAAGCCCATGATAACCTCCACGCAAACCTCATCCGTCCCCAATAGCACCTGTAAGTCAACCGTGGGCATCCAGGGGTCAACTATGATAACATCCATGCAGACCCCATCCTTTCCTCAGAGCGTCTTTAACAACCAAATCTAATAACGGCCACCCGGACCTCTGGCTCTCAGAAAGCCAACGGCACATATTACATCATATGACTGGGGCTCAGAGCATAAAAGTATGATGGCGGCAGAAGTCCCAAGACTCCCTTCCCTCGTCGTCCCATGCGAGGCACTTTAGATACCTCTGAGTTCGTGTTGAGGCCGCTTACGCAAGACTTCATTCGGGCTAGGGCTGACATTTCCTAGGTTCGTCCAGCTGTTCTGATTTCCAGGTTTTTAGCCCAAATATCATCGTATGTGCACAAAACAACGGTGTTTGCGCATGTTGAGACATTACCCTACCCTAAACCCTAAACCCTAAACCCTAAACCCTAAACCCTAAAGAATCTGGCTGTCAGCCCACCGAGTTCCGAGCGCGAACTGCCCAAAACCCGAATGAAAAGCACGTCGCAGGCGTTTAGTCTCCAGGTTTTTTGTGTGCCTGCTTGGAGAGTCGGGGGACTTAGTAACTGGTTATTTTAGGGACTTATAAGTACCATAACCCCAATTAGGGTCCCTTTTAGGGTACTTATAAGTCTACTTACTAACTACTTACTAAGTCCCCCGACCCCCCAAGTGTGACCTTAAAGGAGAAAGGTACCCCCTTCTGATCCCTTTAATGGAACCCCAGGATTTCTATCATCGGCCGTAGGTCCTTTTTTGTTGCAACCTCGAGATGAACACAAATGCAGATGCGCCTTCAGAGGCCTTAGTACCTAAATGAATACAAATACTAGGGGTTCCTTAAATCTGCTAAATGATAATTCATACGCCTCTACCCTTGTAGAACCCTTTAAAAGGAACCCTTAGGACCTGAGGGTTCCTTAGGTATTCTCTACTTGGAGGGTCGGGGGACTTAGTAACTGGTTATTTAAGGGACTTATAAGTGCCATAACCCCAATTAGGGTCCCTTTTGGGGTACTTATAAGTTTAAACGGGGTCCTGAAGGGTTACTATAAGGGCTGTGATAAGGATTTAGTATACCAGGATCCCAACTATCAGACAATCATCCTGATTCCATCAGGGGTCTATCCGAAGTCCTAAACCCTGGAAGCACTAATCCCTAAATCCAAAATCCTAAAGCCTCGAAGTCCGATCCCTAAATCCTAAATCCCAAGCCCTCGAACCCCTTCATCCCTGAATCCGAGATCCTAGAACTTATAACCCTAAATCCTAAACTTTAAACTAGTAAGAAACCCCTGTCAGGAGGCTGGAGCCGCTTATGCCGCTGACATCCTCTTCTACAACTGGTTTTGGAATTCCCACACGGCCGGTGGGTTTTGGGTTGGCGCTTGAGGGGTCTGGGGGTTTATGCGAGCAGACGTAAACCCCCAAAGGGTTCCTGTCAGGGTTCCTTTAAGGGATCTACAGGCGTTTCGTTAAGGATTCCTTGCAGGGTTAAGGGTTGAGGGTTTGCAAGGCCGAAGGGTTTAGATAACCTTTTCGGGTGATTACAGTCCCGAATTATACAGTTGTAAAGGCCAGATCCCCTACCTAGGCTACTGGACAAGTAAGTTAGGATTCTGACAAGGCCAGAGGTGCTTTTGACGAGATGTGCCAGTCGGAATCGTCCACAACCCGACTCGCTGCAATAAAATCATTGATTGCCCGCTTGGAGAAACTTGGTCAATCTTTGGATCCTGTTTTTCTTGTGCGGAGAAGCTCAGTGCATCTTAGACTTCTTTTTTGCTTTCTGCGTCGTGGGCCTCCGTTTGTTTCTTACCGGGAGCGCATGAGAAGGATCCTTGCTCTGTCCTTCCCAGAGAGCCCAATACCCCTCAATTAAGCAATATACCGTAAATTATAAGGGGCTTCATATTATGATTGAAGCCTATATTCCTTAGTTCCTTAATTAGGGAGCATTGGGCTCTCTGGGTTCCTAATAACAGGGACCCAGGAAAGATGGCTTTGGTCCTATAGAGCACGATGAGCTAGCACGTCGCCGAGTTGCGCTACCATACATCTGCCGCGCGGTCTTCGATGAGTGTGCCGAGGTGCACCAGGTGGCAGGAGCATGCCTGATGCGATTCTGGGCTCCTGATGGGGTTCCTGTTGAGGTCTAGGATTTGGGGTTTAGGGGACTTTGTTTAGACTTACCATAGCAAGAAATGCAAACCGTTTGCCGTACGTCCGTACGACGGTAACTGTTTTTGGACTCCTGTGGCAAGAACCCAGGATTCGTCCCGCCTTTCGCTGGTGAAGCGGACATCTTCATTCTGGGGCAAGACATTATAGACCAATTCCTGCGTTTCGGAGATAGATTCAGTGGCAAGTCTCTTGTCTGTCGCTTAACCAGACTTTTTGTGCAGGGTTTCAGGATTTGGAGCGCAGGGGCGTAGGGCCTTTATGAAAAGGGTTGTAGAGTGTGTATGTTGAACCCGGTATAGAAAGGTCTTAAACTTCTTAACCCTAAAAGTGCAAAGTGAGACTGACCAGCTGCACTAGTATTTCACACCTTCCTCTTCACCCTCAACCCTAAACCCTAAACCCTAAACCCTAAACCCTAAACCTCCACCCGATGGTCGTTCGATCATAAGCTCTGAACCTTCAACCCTGAAGTCCTAAACCCTAAAGCCGACAATGCTAAAAAAGGGGCCTAGGTGGGGTTCCTTATGAGGGCTTAACAGCGAAAGGCCGTCGCATATCCTCTCAAGACCACGCATTCCCGGGCCGGTAACGATGATGACTATGATCATGATCATTATGACGAAAACAATGGTAAGAATCGAAATGACCGTGATAATGATGTTGCTAAGGCAATGATGACGGTCGTCATGCTGATGAAGATGCTTGAGATGATAAAAATGTTGATGACGCTAACGACGATGATTATGACCATGAGCATGATCATTCGATGATGATGTTGATGATGCTGCCGATGATATTGCTAAGAAACAGTTTCGGTGATGTCCTACAAACCTGTGTTTTGCAGAAATCGTGCTAAAACTCAGCTTCGCACACATTCTATTTGCGAACACAGCGTGGCGCCTGATGCGCCCGTACCCGAACAATTACCGATACTATTCTTAAGTTGCTTATTATGGATTATGGATGTAGTATAATCGGCCCCGCCTTTTTGGAAACCTTGTTATTAGGCAATAGCTCAAAATCCTGAGCCCGAAATCCGACAAAGTATCCCAGGTCCCTTCCCGAGACCGTTTCGACCTTTTGCCGGGATCTCGCCGCGAAGTTGGATGGGTACTGGCCACAGCATGCCGGCTGGCAGGAGGGCATCGACGACGAGGAGGCACAAGTTTCTAGTTCTATGAGTACTACTTGCACTACTACTACTAGTTGGACTACGGCTGCTACATGCTACATACTACATACTACATAGTACATACTACATACCACATACTAGCTACTACGTACCACCTCCTGCCTACTACCTATTTTCAGACTGCCTGCTACCTTCCACCTACTACTTGCTACCTGCTACCTCCTACCTTCTACCTACTAGCTACTACCTGCTACTTGCTGCCTACTGTGTACTGCCTACTACCGACTAGCTGCTACCTACTACCTAACTACCCTACCCTACTACACCCTACTACACCCTACTACCCTACTACCCTACTACCCTACTACCCTACTACCCAACTACCTACTCTGCCTACTAAGTACTATCTACTGCGTACAGGCTACTAGCTACGAGCTACTTTTAAATAATTACGACCACTACTACTACCACTACTACCACTACTACCACTACTACCACTACTACCACTACTACCACTACTACCACTACTACCACTACTACTACCACTACTACTACTACTACTACTACTACTACTACGACTACTACTATTGTCATTACTACTACTACTACTACTACTACTACTACTACTACTACTACTACTACTACTACTACTACTACTACTATTGTCATTACTACTACTACTACTACTACTACTACTACTACTACTACTACTACTACTACTACTACTGATAACAACAACGACTACTACTTCTACCCCTACCAGTACCACTACCACTGCTACTACTACTACTACTACTACTACTACTACTACTACTACTACTACTGCTATTGCTACTGCTACAAGTACGACGAAGACGACGGCAACCAATGAGCAAGCCCTGCTTGCACTCTCAGGTTTCAGGGCGGACCTGGGTTTTTTCAGGATTCTATAGAGGGTGCTCTGGGGTTCACAGAGGCTTTTGTGAAGGTGCCGCAGGGTTCTCTGAGGCGTTATTATCTTAAGTTGAAGCCTTCATGAACAAGCCTGTAAAGGAATCCTTAAAGGAACCTTGTTTTGAGTCTTAAGGCCCCTCCGTTACTGTCATGGACGTACGGTTTAGGGATTCAGGGCTTGGGGTTGAGGGTTTAGGGCTTCAGGTTTGGTTTGCAGATTGGGCTTTACCGTTTGGGGTTCGGGTTCCGATTTAGGTAGGGTTCACCTCCGTATCAAAGGGGTGTGCAGCAGTATGCCTTTGGTAGGACAGGGCTGCTTATGATGATCTCAGGAGTTTTCTGTGCGTAAGACTCCCAAGCGCCATATACCCCCTACAAAATAACTTTGAGCTCCCCAGGCCCCAACCCCTAAATGGGAGTTTCCGAAAGTTAGGGGTACCTTATTTTGGGGTCCTTAGAATAAGGATCCGATTATTTCGGGTACTTGTTTTTAGGGTCCCCTATTTTCCCAAACCCCCAAATGAATCCTGAACCTCATTAGCAAAACTCGAGAAATGCAGGACGCGGAGTCTCTGGAAGCGGGCACCCAGGTGGCCACGGCCACAGTTCGCTATCTCCGGCGCCGATTTCAGCCGCTGGCTTTCATGAAGGCTTTTCGGGTTTCAGGGTTCCGCCAATAATTGCAAGGTGGTTCGCAGGACTCTACATCTCTGTGTTTTGTCACGATCTGTTTGCCACATTGCCCAGGGGTTCGAATAATTTATGGAAAGACATGTTCTCCCTGTTATGACCACCTAAGTTTAGGCTTTCAAGCCTGCATCCGACCAGCCAAGAGCGTATCTGAACACCTTTGTAAAGCCTGAACCCTCAACTGAAGGCATGAGCCGAGATATATTTTGTGGGGAGGCCAGTGCCAAGCCCAACCCTGAACCCTAAACCCTACTAAACCTTAAACCCTACTCAACCCTAAGCCCTAAACCCTAAACCCTAAGCCCTAAACCCTAAACCCCCTATAGGGTAGGCCAGTGCTAAGCCGCCTTGCGTCTGCAAGAATGAAGATTGGCCTCTAAACGGAATAGGTTTGGGTGCGGTTTAGGGTTTAGGGTTTAGCGGAATAGGTTTGGGTGGTTTGGCCGCCTTGGTGGCCTCAGATGGTGAGGCTGTGAGAGAAGGAAAAACCTTTGAAAGACAGGCTTCGACAGCTCATCGCCGCAGTACGATGCACTCGATGCAACCTTGTCGCGAGATACAAACGCCTACACGCTATTCCGCCGCAAACCCTAAACCCTAAACCCTACTAAACCCTAAACGGAGGGCATATTTTTGTCGCCATTGTTTTTTCGCACCTGTGGCCTTTTTTTTAGCGTGTTTGTTATAGATAGTACTAGTACTGGTAGTAGTAAAGAGTAATAGAGTAATACAGTCATAGACTAATAGACTGATAGACTGATAATAAACTAATAGACTAATAGACATAATAAACTAGCAGACTAATAGACTAATAATAGACTAATAGACGAATAGACGAATAGACGAATAGACTAATAAACTCGTAGACTAATAGACTAATAGACTAATAGACTAAACAAACTAAACAGACTAAAAGACGAAAAGACTAATAGAGTAATAAAGTAACAAAGCAATAAAGCAATAGAGCAATAGAGCAATAGAGCAATAGAGCAATAGAGCAATAGAGCAATAGAGCAATAGCAATAGAGTAAAAAAGAATAGAGTAATAGTACAAGAAACAGTGCGCGCGAAGCGCGTGACCCGCAGGCTTTGCTCCATGACTTTATGCATTGGTAATGGTAACAGTAATAGTAATGGTAATAGTAATAGTGCTGCATAGTAATACCAAAGTAATAGGTATAGTAATAGTAATAGTAATAGTCATAGTACTCGTACTAGTACTAGTACTAGTGCTAGTACTAGTACTAGTACTGGTACTAGTATTAGTAATAGTAGTGGTCTTATGCTGGTTGTGGCGGTGGTGGTGGTGGTGGCGGCGGCGGCCGTTGCATTACAACAACAACAACCACAACAATAACAACAACAACAACAACAACAACCACAGTTCAGACAAGAGGCTACGACACCAGCAACAGCAGCAGCTACGGCAACAACAGCACTAGCAGCAAGAGCAATAGAAGCACCGACAAACACAAATTCCTCAACCCTCAACTCCTGACTTCCCCCTGAACCCTGAACCCTGCCTCTTGATACGAGTCGTCGCTTCTTGCGCTTTCAGCGCTTTTGGCGCTCCCCATAATCATACTTAACAATTTTGGTTCAATGTAACTGTGGACGATACACATGCATATCTCTGGAAAATTGGATCATACATACAGAAAGCACATCTACCAGTATGTAACGTAATATGGTAATTATATCTGTCGTGCAGACCTCATATCTCTGAGCTGCCACTGGCAGGGGAGGCGCCGTGGTAGGAGGGGTGGGTGGCAGCGACGAGACGCAGGCGGCCACCGCGACCCCGCCATGAATCAGAAGCACAGATGGTTGTACTTGTAGTAGTAGTAGTAGTAGTAGTAGTAGTAGTAGTAGTAGTTGTAGTAGTAGTAGTAGGAGTACTAGTACTAGTACTAGTACTAGTACTAGTACTAGTACTAGTACTAGTACTAGTAGTAGTAGTAGTAGTAGCAGCAGCCCACACATCATCTGCATGTCATCGTGAAAGTTTGGGTGAGGTATTCCACTCCTTGATAGCGCATTCGATCCAACCGTTGTCTCCGAGCGCATCTCCTGAGTACAGGCTGCGTCACATGCACATTGCTACACACCTAGACACACAGACACACACACACACACACACACACGCACGCACGCACGCACCCACACACACACACACGCACGCACGCACGCACGCACGCACGCACGCACGCACGCACGCACGCACGCACGCACGCACGCACGCAGGCACGCAGGCACGGAGGCACGCAGGCACGCAGGCACGCAGGCACGCAGGCACGCAGGCACGCAGGCACGCAGGCACGCAGGCACGCAGGCACGCAGGCACGCAGGCACGCAGGCACGCAGGCACGCAGGCACGCAGGCACGCAGGCACAGCACGGCACGCAGGCACGCAGGCACGCAGGGCAGGCAGGCACGCAGGCACGCAGGCACGCAGGCACGCAGGCACGCAGCAGGCACGCAGGCACGCAGGCACGCACACGCACACGCACGCACGCACGCACACGCACGCACGCACGCACGCACGCACGCACGCACGCACGCACGCACGCACGCACGCACGCACGCACGCACGCACGCACGCACGCACGCACGCACGCACGCACGCACGCACGCACGCACGCACGCACGCACGCACGCACGCACGCACGCACGCACGCACGCACGCCCGCACGCACGCACGCACGCACGCACGCACGCACGCACGCACGCACGCACGCACGCACGCACGCACGCACGCACGCACGCACGCACGCACGCACGCACTCACGCACGCACGCACGCACGCACGCACGCACGCACGCACGCACGCACGCACGCACGCACGCACGCACGCACGCACGCACGCACGCACGCACGCACGCGGCTGCTGTTCGTGGCCTGGTCCTGCCATGGCAGCCCTTCTGCTGCTGCTCAAGCGCGCTGGTTGCGTGTGCGGCGCCGTGGCAAGGCCGCTTAGTTACATCACATACTTGTGCCGCGTGTCCACAAAGTTCAGTTGTACAAGGAAACATGTAATTTCCGAAGAGCCATACCTCAGTTGGCGCCGTTGCCTGAGGCCTTCGTGGAAGACGCCCGCTACTGCCACAGATGTGGCAGGAGGCGCACACAGCCGGAGCAGCCGGAGGTGCGCCATGTAACCAAGTCCGTGCTTGAACCCTTGCTTCATTGCCGAAACAGTGACAGTTGCTAGAAGGTTCAGACCATTTTTCGGAGGGTCGGTGTGAGTGTAAGCAAAGTCTGGCGTTTCTCTCGTCGCTGCGAGGCCCCCTCTTTAGTCTACAGCTTTGGTAATTGTAATTGAATTGTTTGCCACCTGTTACGGAATGGCGGCGAGCATATTTCTGTGACAGTGCAGTGGGTGTCCACGCGTCATGGCTGGCTTTACACCTGGGCACAGGCGCTGAATCTCTCAGCATTCCTCATCTCCTCTTTCTCACAGAGCCAAACCTCAACGGTGGATGACAGGGACTGTCAAGCAAGCGATCACGCGTTCCCTCCTTGGTTGGTTGCTGCCTGGAAGTGTTCCGGGACTGAATTCACCACAGCCTATCCAGTCCCTCACTTCCCATGGTAACTAGGGAGTGGGCGTCTCGCTGCTGATGCAACGAACAGGTCTGCCGCGTCAACGGCTGCCACAACAGCAGAGAGCTGGGGAGGCGTGCGAAGCAAGCATCATGACCTCTTTTTTCTTTGCTGCTCTGTGTTGCTGACAGGTCATAGAGTAATAGAGTCTTAGAGTAATAGAGTAATAGAGTATTTGAGTAACAGAGTAGTAGAGTAATAGAACAATAGAGTAATAGAGTAATAGAGTAACAGAGTAATAGACAAATAGAGTACTAGAGTAATAGAGTAATAGAGTAATAGAGTAATAGAGTAATAGAGTAATAGAGTAATAGAGTAATAGAGCAATAGAGCTTTTAGAGTAAGAGAGTAATAGAGTCATAGGGTAATAGAGTAATAGACTCATAGAGTAATATAGTATAAGAGTATGAGAGTAACAGAGTAGCAGGACCCAGGGCCCCAAAAAAAAAAAGGCAGCAGAAGCAGAAAAATAATGTGGCCAGATATTCTCGGCCCACCCTAAACCCTGGTTCAAAAAAAAACTTAAGCCCCCAACCCTGAACCCTCAACCCAAAGCCCTTCGCCCTAAACCTTCAACCCTGAACCCTCAACCCAAAGCCCTTCAAGAACCCAGGCAATGGCTGGCCGACAGCCAGGCCTCGTTTGGCGGCCCGACTGATAACTCGGACTCATAGATCCCTTTAAAAGAGCCCTTTGAAGGTACCCCCTTATAGATCCTTTTAAGGGAACCCTGGGATTTATATCATGACCCATGACCCGTAGCTATCTAGGGCGAGGGTTCACAATGCTTTTCAACTTTCCTCTAAGACCAGGTTAGGCTATTTTGGGACATATATCCTATATGGCAAAAATAACCTATATAGGTTATTTATATAAATAAACTATAGGTTATTCTTCCGGTTATTTTATAGGTTATTTTATAGGTTATATCTGAAATAGCCTATATCCTACTATTGAATGTAGCTTAAAAACTGCTTACTGTGTTTGACAAAATACTATTGATTAGCATCCAGTTTGATAGATTTTTTGCATAGAACATTGAAATTGATATGTTTTCTAAGTAGCAGATCTGTGCTAAGTTGAACGAATGCGTGTTTTCGCTTTGTTTTTGTGCACGGAACAACTGATTTTCCATGTGTGTTACTGCGAATGTGTTTGGTTTGTCTTCATTGTTGCTTGTTGATTGTGACTTAGTTACTCCGTGTACCTAGCTCTTGCATGTGTCGATTTTGTTTGCTACTTAGATCTTCTTGCATCTAGCTAACATACGGCTGGCACCTCAGATGACTCTAACTAACAAATCATATCCCGAGGTTTGGGGTTTTTGAGAAGTGTAGGTAGGTAGATAGGTCCAGATAGGTGGCTAGGCAGGGTAGCTAGGTCTTTGGGTTAGCATGGTCCCCTGGTACAGGCTTGCTATAGGTAGGTCTTTGGAATACGTGTTTTGGGGTTTGAGCTGGGGGGTTTAGGGGATTAAGCTAACTGGGTTGAAGGGGCTTGGGGTTGCGTGTTAATGGGTTCCGGGTTGTGTAGGTAGTTCTACGGGATACATTTATTGGGTTTTGGTGTTCAAGGTTTCTGGATTGAGGGGGCTAGGGTTCCGTGGTACTAGGTTTTGGGGTATGGTTTGAGGGGTTTAGGGGTGTAGGGTTTCTTGGATTAGGGGTCTTTGGGTTCGGTGTTCAAAGGTTTTGGTGTTTGGCCTTTGGGCGGCTTCGGGACTTCAGGTTGAGTGTTGATGGGTTCGGGGTTTTGGAGGGCTTGGGCGGTTGCTAGGTTCAGGGCTTCTTGCAGTTTCTGGGTTAGGGCTTGAGATGGGGATGTAGGGTTTTGACTGCTTGGGGTTGCTGGGTTGCGGCTTGAGGTTGGGGTGTAGGGGTTTGAGAGCTTGGGGTTTCTGGGTTAGGGCTTCGGGTCGGGGTGTAGGGGTTTGAGGGTTTGGTGTATTGGTAGGTTGACGGTATATACGTATATAAACAGATGGCTAACGACGATTAGACACAGAGGAAACGTACTAGTGTTTGTTTGTTGGAAAAGTATTGTTTTGAGTTTCAGAACCATTCTTTTAGTTGTACAATATGTCCTGTTGCAAAACATAGACTGTTCTGTATATTTTCCATAATTTTGTTTTACAAAATCACTGTTTCATGCATAGCATTATGGGTTGTTTTGAGAATTTCTAAATAGTTTTGAAAATGCTTGACAATATTTGTCACAGTCTTAATGTGTTCTATGATTTTTTGATTATTATCAAAGTTTGTAAAATTTGTATAGAACTGTTATAATAGTTTTTCTAGAATTTTTAACAACTGTCTACATTTTCTTAAAATTTGATGGATTTGTGTAATAAATTTCTATAAAGTTCTTAAGATTGTTTATAAAAAGTTTAAGAATTTTTCTAAAATTTTGAAGAATTTTGATAAAATTCTGAAGAAATTTTATAAAATTTTGAAGAATTTTGATAAAATTCTGAAGAAATTTTATAAAAAAATTGAAGAATTTTGCATGATTTTTACCAAAATGGCGGTCCAGTTTCGGTCCGGTTTCGGTCCGGTTTCATGAAAACTGGACCCCGGTGGTCCGGTTTCATAGAAACCGGACTCAAACCGGACCACCGGAGTCCAGTTTTCATGAAACCGGACCGAAACCGGACCGAAACTGGACCGAAACTGGACCGCCATTTTGGTAAAAATCATGCAAAATTCTTCAAAATTTTACAAAAAAATTTAAAATCTGTATAAAAATTCTTTGATTTTTTGCAAAATTTTTTCAAAATTGTATAGAAATTTATCAAAAAATGTAAGAGTCGTAAAAAATTTGATAGAATTTTTTGATAATTTGTTATGCACATTCATAATTTTTTGTACATATTCTATACAAACCTATAAAAATTATTCAAAATTTGTATAACCGCCATTAAAACGTTTTGAACATTTATATAGTTTTGGCGCCCAGATTTATTATTGTTTCGTGACAATTCTTCAAATTGTCACAAAACAAAACTAAATTTCAAAGGACACAAAACAAACGTTAGAACACAACCACAGTGTTAAAACCGAAGCCAGTTGCTTTAACTCCGTTATAGTATCACTCAAGCCGGCGCTTTTGCAAAAATTAACACCACGACAGTATTTAAAACTGTGCTGCTACAAAAGCAACTGCAAGACATTGTACATACATTGTTAGAACTATAAGAACGTATGTTTTGATACATATATATATATACACAGAGAGAGAGGGAGAGAGAGAGAGAGAGATATGCACACGCATACGTGTGTATGTATAGAACACATTGTATGTCTGCAACATATATATATATATATATGGATAAAGGTGCCTTATGTGTCTGTGTGCCTTTGCTTGTATGTTTCAACGTGTAGAAGTACGTGTAACCCAAAACCTAAACTCTAAACCCCAGGCTCAAAGACAAGCCTAATACTGCAAGCTCGGAAGCCATGAGAGAGGAAACCCGACACCCATAAACACCAAACCTCAAATCCAGAAGCCCCCCCCCCTAAGGGGCCAAGCCCCACCGAACCCAAACACCCGTGTAATCCTGGAAGTCCTACACCCTTAAATCCCAAAGCCCCAAACCCATTGTGCCGGAACCCGAAGCCCCCCCAATCCCCAAAGACATCTAGACCCTTAAACCCCGGACCCAACAACCACCTTCCCCAGAGCGCCGGAAACCCTAAGCCCCCAACCATAAGCAGAAAGCCGTCCAAATCCCGATACCCCTGGATAAACGCCGCAATCCCGCAAACACCAAACTTCAAATCCTCAAACCTGCCGAACCCACAACCTCTCACCACCGGAGCCAAAGACCCTTTATTCTAGAAGCACGAAGCCTCAATCCCAAACACCAAAACTCAGTGCCACGGAACGACCCCTTACCGCAAAGCACGAATCCCAATCTTACCTACCTCGTTTGTACCTAGGGAGCCATTACCCATACCTAGCAACCTTCCTACCTACCCATCTGCCTACCCTGCCCAAATCCATCTAGAAACCTCGGGTTATCACTATCGAAACGAGTCAAGATTTCAAGAAAATATTTCAACACAGATCGGTCTTCAACACATTTCCCTATTCGCAGACGTGTTTTTCTAAACAAGACTGACGTTGGTTCTGTATGGATTTCCATTGATTTTTTGGTTTCCAACATATGCGAAAATATCCTATATTCTACCATATAACATGTTTTTGCATAGTCTATTTACTAAATAACCGAAAAAATAGACTATGAAACAAGAGCGAAATAGTCTATTTAAAATAGTATATTTCAAAGTAAAATAAACTATTTTGCCAAATAGGATATATGTCCCAAAATAGCCTAACCTGGTCTTAGAGGTTCCGTGAAGTTGCGAATAGTCGGATCCCGCGTGCAATTCAGGTAGGGGTCTGTTAATCACGGCTCTACATTGAGTCTACATTGACAATCGGTTTACGCGTTGAAGTTTCTGTACGCCCTGAACCTTGAGCCCGAAACGCTGACGAGGATTGCGGGTTTAGGGTTTAGGGTGCGGGATGTCAGGTTGGGACTTACCTCCTTTGGTACAGTGCCTTCTTTCTGTTTCAGCTTTTCACCCAAAGCTTTAACAAATCTAAAACCCTAAAACCGCGACCGTAACCGTCCCCTAATTCCCAAACTTTGCAAACCCCAAATCCCAACCCGAACCAAACTTTTAAGCCCTAAACACTGTTACTAAACACGACACCGTAAATTCCCAAATCCACACATAGTAACCCCTAAAGGAGCCCTTAAAGGAAATCCTACACCATCCCCAGGTGCGATTGAGTCAGCAGCGATGGATCTCATTGAGGCCTTTGAGTTTGGCCTCGGCAGCCCTCGATGGCAGGTGGAGCCCAGATCGGGTGTGGGGGTTAGGGCTTTAGCGGGCTTAGGGATAGGGTGTAAAGTTGAGGGTTTAGGGTTTAAAGGGTGTGAGGTTTAGGGTTCAGGGGTTTACCCGGAGTAGCCAAGGTTCCTTAAGAAACGTAAATGTAGCAGTTTTTTGGTGTCAGATTGGTTTAGGGCGCTCTGCTGTAGGGTGCTACAAAGGGAAACGACAAGAGCAGCGGGCTCTGGTTCGATAGCTTCCAATTTCTTTTCAGCTACAAAGCTGGGGATATGTGTATATATATATATATATGCACACGCACGTGTTGTTAACATACATATGTATGTATATGAGGTATCTGCGTATATGTATTTGTATATACAATATGTATCATAGTCCGTCTAGTTATTCCTAACACTGGTATTTGGACCTAAGTGACATCACACAAGTCCAGAATGGATCAGAAGCCAAGTAAGGACTTGTTTTTTCGCAAAGGCCTGTGTTGAAAGGATCAGGGAGTGAGGTGAGAAGAGAACTAGCTACTCTTATACTGTAGCCTTGTAGCTGCCGTTAACCCCAGTTGAGACACTCATGAACTCGCACGTTCTTATGTCACTGTTTAAAGCCCTATAGGACCCTGTAACAACCCGGTACGCACTTAACCCATGAACGAACGGATGTTTATGAACTCAAGAGCTTATCAACACATAGTTTTCGTTTGGGGTTAAGTGCTACACCCTAAGCCCTACACCCTGAGTTCTAAACCCTCTAACTCCTTTTGTTCGTCTCAGGTGCGGAGGGCAGCCGTGGAGAGTCTCATCGCGATTGCTCCATGGGGTGCTCTGGTATGTCAGAAACTGCTTGAGATTTTTCCGTAGGGCTCAGGGTTTTTGTGAGTCTTCGACAGTGTTCGGATTTAGGAGTCTTGACTTGGTTCAGAATCCAGGGTTATGGTGTTTAGGGTTTAGGTTTACAGTGTTTAGTGTGCAGGGTTACGGATTTATTGGCAAATGGATGGTTTGCGCTTCAGGTTTTTGGTGTTGCTAGGTCTAGGGTCTGCGCTTTCCGGGCTCAGGCGGCTTAGGGTTCAAGGTTTTAGAGTTTCTAAACCCTAAACCTTAAACCCCTAAACCCTAAACACTACACCCCTAAACCCCCGAGCCCTAAACCCTAAATCTAAAGGATCTAGAGTTTAGGTTTGTCTGTGTCCCCTAGGATATTCGACTTTTAGGGGCTCAGGGTGCTACGAAAGGGGTTGGGCAGTATAGAGGCCGTCATAATTGCCTAAACTATTTTGGGGGCTCCTTAATATGATTATAGTATGATGGACTCCAAAACCCTGTTCTAATTATAATTGCCTATACTATTGTGGGAGCTCCCTATTATGATTATAGTATCATGGACCCCAAAACCCTGTTCTACGTAAGTGTTAAGGCCCTCACATTATAGTCCCATTATGAATCCCGTATAGGTTCTACTTGTTAAGGCCCCTACAATAGTATGGGGGTGCCACAGTCTGCACAGGTGGCGGCCCGAAGCAGTAGCATGATGCAGCAGCTTGTGCAGATAGTAGAGGGTTCCTTCGTATGACTCTTCGGTAAAAACTCCCAAACCCTGGAGCCTAAACCCGAAATCCCACGTTGAATATTTTCACCACTCTAGGACAGGGGCTTCATGATGTTGACCATGCTCTTCAAGGTGAACATGAACGTTGGCCGGAGACTCCAAAAGCCCTTGCATAAGTACATTTCCTTAATGATGCTTATGATTCGTACTATGGTGGCCCGTTGTTCAGGGATATGGCTAAACCCTACTTGAAGGATCATGGGACTTAGTAAATAGGTTATAATTGGGGTTATAAGTCCCCCAAGTGGGGTTACTAAGTCCCATGAGCCTTTAAGTAAACCTTAACCCTCAAACGGACCATTGAGCCCCGGCATTCCTGGTCGCAGTGGAAGAAAGGTGCTCATGGTGTGGTTGGCGTGATCAGCATGCGGGATAAAGTGGCTCGACTCACCAGAAGACCCTAAACCCCTAAACCCCGAAAACCCTAAACCTTAAACCCTAAAACCCTAAACCCCTGAACCCCTAAACCCTAAACCCCTAACCCCTAAAACCCAAAACCCTAAACCCTAAACCCTAAACCGTGAGCCCCAAACCCCAAAACCCTAAACCCTAAAACCCTAAACCCTAAACCTCAATACCCTAAACCCTAAACCCTAAACCTAAAACCCGGCTCTGAACGCTAAACCCGTAAGCCCTGAAGCCTCATCTAAGGACCGGACGGCTAAACCCCACAGCCTAAGCCTCTAAACCCAAACCCTACTTGGAGGGTCGGGGGACTTAGTAACTGGTTATCTTAGGGACTAAAAAGTACCATAACCCCAATTAGGGTCCCTTTTAGGGTACTTATAAGTCTACTTACTAACTACTTACTAAGTCCCCCGCCCCCCCCAAGTAACGCCTAAGCCCGAAACGCTCGACATTCATCTCAAAGGCCTCCAAGGGTGGGATAAAGGTAGGTGGGATAATCCCCAAAATAAGGCCTCGGTTTAGGATTTAGGGTTTTAGGGTTTTAGGGTTTAGGGTTTAGGGTTTAGGGTTTGGGGTTTAGGGTTTAGGGAGTCCTTATACAAGGGATCCTAAATACTACCTACCTTCATCCCACCTTTTGAGGCCTCCTAAATCATCACGACAGCATCGATCCCAAACCCTTAGCCCTAAAGCCCCGAAGAAACCATCCTTACATGGGAGTTTCCGAAAATAGGGGACCCTAATATAGTACCCTAAATCATAGGATCCTTATAAGGACCCCCCAAACTAAGGTACCCCTAATTTTCGGAAACTCCCAGATTGGGGCCAGAATATTTGTTAATACCATACCTCAGGGTTCCGGATTATAGTTGTCTTAGGGGTACTTAGAAATATTTTCTAATTTTTGGTTATTATAGAAACAGCTAAAATTATAATCTTTGCTAGGGTTCTAAGTTCAGTATGGTTGTGCTAAGCATGTCTCACAGTAGCAGCCAGGAAGTTGGAACATGGCTATGGGAGGATTAGTGCTAGGATCCCTTATACTTTCCCTTAGGGGCATGAGGACAATGACGTTCCAACTTTCTGGCTTCTACTGTAAAGCCCTAGTCTAATCATTAAAGACCTTGTGCTAAGCCCAAATGGCAATCTATTCTAGAGCCCTTAGAGGAAGCATGTTCTGATTCTGACCCCCAGTCCCCGCATAACGGACTTATGCTACAACCTAAATCCCTAAACCCAAACCTTAGACCAAAAACCCCAAAACCCTAAACCCCTGACCCTTCCCCCGTCGGTTTCGAAGCGAAGCCCGCAACGAAAAGCCGAAGCTCACTGGGCCCTGTTGGTAGCTTAGGCAGTGTTGAGGTTTTAGGGGTTCAGGGTTTTGGGGTTTAGAGGCTGTTTGGGGTTTAGGGTTTTGGGATGTCTAGGGTTAAAGGCGCGGGGGTTTAGGGTTTAGGCATTTAGGGTTTAGGGGTTTCGGGTTTAGGAGTTTAGGGCTTAGGGTTTAGTGGTTAGTGGTTTAGGGTTTAGGGCTTGGGGTTGAGGGGTTGGGGTTTAAGGGACTCGGGCTTTTACTAGGCAATTTGTTTAGTTTGGATGTTGTCGCGGTGCTTAGTCGTAGTGGTGGTAGTGGTAGTGGTAGTGTGGTGGTAGTAGTAGTGGCAGTCGTAGTATTAGTAATGCACTCAGATTTGTAACGTTTGAACCTCTGTAGCAGTAGCAGCAGTAGCAGTAGTAGTAGTAGTAGTAGTAGTAGTAGTAGTAGTAGTAGTAGTAGTAGTAGTAGTAGTAGTAGTAGTAGTAGTAGTACGAGTAGTACGAGTAGTACGAGTAGTACGGGTAGTAGTACGAGTAGTAGCAGGAGCAGGAGCAGGAGCAGGAGCAGGAGTAGGAGTACCCTGGACCCCAAAACCCCTAACCTCGCCCAGGAGAAGCGAAAAGAGGTCTTAGAAGTCATGGCAAGCTTCCTGGACAAGTATGCGGCGGATGTGGAAGACCCTTCTCGGGTGCGCCGCGAGGATGCTTTTGGGCATTTGCGCGTGAGGTTTGGGGAGTAAGGTTGCATGCTCAGGTAGCCGGTTCGTTTCATCTGTTGGGGTCGAGGGTCTAGGATGTAGGATTTGGGCGTCAGGGTCGGGGAGAAAAGAGTTCGGGGCTGGTGTCCTATGTCGCTTGGGGTGCAAGAACCAGAAACCCTCAACAATGAAACCCATCCCTAAACCCTTAACCCCAGCTCCCAAAACCTGAACCAGAGTACGACTCCAAACTAAACCGAAAACCCCTTTCGGATGGGTTCAGGTATTGGCGGTTCAGACGTAAGGATGCGGCTTTAGGGTTTCCAGTATAGTGCGCACAGTTTCCGACCCTGAAAGCCAGTCCTTTGAGCAGAGTTTCCCTTCAACGTCTTCCAGAGTGCCAAAAGCTCTGAACCCCAAACCCTAAACCCTTGAGCCCTAAACCAACAAAGCCCTACATCCTGGGCCTATCGCCCTAAAGTAGTAGGATTCATGTTATACGGAAGCCTAATAAAGGCCCAAGGTGTCTTAATCAGGTTCCTACATGGTTATAGTACCCTGGTTTTAGATCCCCTAAAGCAACCCCTATAGTAACCCTTTTAAAGGAACCCTAATACTTAAAGGGTCATGGGAATTAGTAACTCGGGTTATAAACAAGGTAACTATACTTATAATAATAGGTTCTATCCCCAGTTAAGGAACCTATAACTGTACTTACTAAGTCCCATGAACCTCCAAGCAGAGGCCCAAGGTTTCTTAATCCTCAAAGCCCTAGTCTGAACTATAGTAACCCTTTTAGAGGAACCCGAATAAAGGCCCAAGGCTTCTTAATCCTCAAAGCCCCAGTCTTCCCCCGAAGCCCACCAAAAAGCCTTCAGTCCTAGAGTCTCCGATTGCCTGGATAATGGCCACCGTCTAGGATGTAGGGATAATAGAGTCTAGAACTAGAGAGCAAAAATGGGTCGAGCTTCTCTATACAATGTCTTCGCTCCTTTCTCGCAAAGTCAACTTCAACGGGGATTTTCACCAAGCATCATCACTTTCTCACCTCTACCGCCTGTGCCTCCCTAAACATTAAGCTGCAAAACCCCAGACCCGAAATTCAACATCCTAAACCTGCAAAGTCAAACCTCTGAGCCCTAAACGCTAAGCCCCTACCGGTAAACTTGCTTCTTAACCCTATAAACCCAAACCCCAAATAACCCTAAACCTTCAACCCAAAACCCTAAAACCTTAAACCCCAAGCCGTAAGCCCTAGCTCAGGTCAGCTTTACGTCGGCTTTGACGATGGCTGGAGCTCCGACTATTCGGAAGAATGCAGACAGGAGTCCTTGCTTTGGGGAGTTTTTTTGGCCTGGTCACTTGTTTGTCGCTTAGCTTTGGAATCGTCATATGGGGACTATAGCGTGACGTCATGTTTGGCTAGGCTTTTTTCATACGGCCTCATGAAGGGAAGTAGACTTCAACATTGAGTGAAGCGGTAGGTGTCATCTATTCGTAGCAGAGCACCATCACTGGGAGTGACTCGATGTCTCCAGCATACTTGTCTTACATCGGGGAAAAGGTGCTAGCCGTCGAGACAGGCGGGCTTGAGAAGAGATGTAAACAGAGCAGGTAGTGCAAAACAGATAGTGTAGGAACCTGATGAAGAAACCTTGGGCCTTCATTCGGGTTCCTTGTATGAATCCTACTGCTTTTAGAGTTATAGGCCCAGGGTTTATTAATCAGGTTCCCACATTAGTGCAATGTCAGGAGTGGAATGCACAATGGGAAGACTCCCTGATGCGTGACAAGCATGGTGGATTTCTCAAGTCGCACGCCACCCGCAGGGCACGTCACAACAAGCAGCATGGCGCCAATGCATCGCAGGGACCGTCCACAATTGCAAAGAAGAAGAAGTGGGAAAGGCGATCGAAGCCCGCCGAGGTACAAAACTATTCGGAGATCAAGAAGCCTGGTGCCCGCCCAGCAGTACCATTTTCCGCTTTTCTTGCATTCGTAGCTTCCCTGAACCTCGAACCCTAAACCCTGAAGCCTTAAACTTGTCTGTTTTTTTCAATAGACTAATCTCTGGAAAGCGGGTCGCCTCATTATTGCGGGAGTCTTGGTGAGAGCACAGGAAGATAAGCCAACGAGACAAGGAGCAGGCCGGCTTCTGTGGAGAGGGGTCCGCCAGCTTCGTTGAGAGTTTAGGGTTTTTAAACCCTAAACCCTAAACCCCTTAACCCTAAACCTTAAACCCTGAGCTTAAACCCTAAAACCCTAAACCCTAGTACCCTTATGGTACCCTTAATCAGGGAACCCATAACCCTCATACTAGTACCCTTATAGCACCCTTGAAGGAACCCTATTCGGGTGGGCCCCCTATACTCCTTGGGAGGATCGCCAGCTCAAGGCGGGCATGCTTGGACGCGAGCTCTTCAGCCTCTCCTTGGGCCTCGCAAGCGAGAGCTCTTAGGGGGCCTGGGCCTTTTTGGGCTCCTCTAAGGGACCCCTTTAAAGGTAGCCTCTCTGGGTTTGGATGTTTAGGGTTTCAGGGTTTAGGGTTTAGGGTTTAGGGTTTAGGACGCCGCCGCGGGGTCAATGTTGCGGCCCTGGATCGTTTCTCTTTCGACGGCGTGTCTGAGGCACAGCTGTGTACAGTGTACAGATGCCGCGGCAGAGGAGGCGCCACATCGCTCGCGAAACTAAGCTTCGCCTGTTTCGGGACAGTAAGTGTTAATGCTGAGGTTGGTGCAACGAGTAGCAATATCATCTCTTATGAGTATAGCACGTGTGCCCCGAACAGAGAGCAAGTATCTATTTGTTAGGCCCCAATATCCAACCCCGTACAAGCGTATCCAAACCGCCTATCAAAGTCCGATAGAGTCTCATCGGAAATCCTGCACCGTCTGCAGTAGTGTCGGTAACCTTTAACTTCATTGGGGCACTATAATCTCTATATAATCCCAGAGGTTAACCTTCAGTTCCCCTATGACACTGGACAAGAATCCTAATCCATAAACCCTAAACCCTAAAAGCTGCAAACCCTAAAACCCTAAGCCCTAAAGCCCCAAAGCCCTAAACCCTAAAGCCGCAAAACCCCAAAGCCCTGAAGCCCTAGAGCCTTAAACCTTAAACCCCTTACTTAGAGGTTCATGGTTCATGGTACTCAGTAACTAGGGTTGTAAATAAGGTAACTATACGCATAATCGGTTGTATCCCCAAGGTACTTATAACTTTACTTACTAAGTCCCATGAACCTCCAAGTAGACCCTAAAACCCTAAACCCTATAGATCCCTTTTGAGGAACCCTATAGATCCCTTTAAGGAGCCCTTTAAGAACCCTTACTAAGTCCCATGAACCTCCAAGTAGAACTTACGAGGTCCGTAAGCAGCGCCTAGCCACTGCCTGCGACGACCGCGGCGCCGCGATCTTCGACTTCGGCGGGAGGCGCCTGGTCACCTGCAGCTTGACTCATAGGAGGCCAAAAGGGGTATTAGGGTTTACGGTTTAGGGTTGAGGGTTCACTTGGAGGGTCGGGGGACTTAGTAACTGCTTATTTTGGGGACTTATAAGTACCACAACCCCAATTAAAGTCTACTTACTAACTACTTACTAAATCCCCCGACCCCCCAAGTAGGAGGCCAAAAGGGGTTTTAGCCTATAGGGGTCTAGTAGGGATTAGGGTTACCAAAATAGGGCTCATTAACCCTAAATCCTTATAAACCCTACTTAAAGGGTCATGGAGATTAGTAACTAGGGTTATTATTAAGGTAACTATACTTATAAGTACTTATAACCCCGATTAAGGTACCCTTAATCCTTCTGGGTGGTTGTCAAAATTAGGGTCCCTGTTTTGGGTACCCTAAATGATAGGTGCCGTATTATAACCAGGACCCAGAAAGGAACCATAATCTTGACAACCACTCTTATAAACCCTACTTGGAGGGTCGGGGGACTTAGTGACTGGTTATTTCAGGGACTTATAAGTATCATAACCCCAATTAGGGTCCCTTGTAGGGTACTTATAAGTCTACTTACTAACTACTTACTAAGTCCCCCGACCCCCCAAGTAAACCCTGAACCCTTAGCCCTGATGGAGGCGGTGAAGAGGTTTCGGGTTTAGGTTTACAGGGTTCAGGGCTCGGAGCTTCCTTGATTCTGACAGTTTCAAGGGCTCCTTTAAAGGGAAGCATTAAAGTGAAGCCTTAAAGGGAAGCCTTAAAGAGCCCGCATCAGGGTTCCTTTAAGGCTTCCTTTTAAGGTTCCTCAAAGGATTTCCTCAAGCTGAACTTGACGGGTTTCCGAAACAGGCTTCTGTTGGGCTTTGCTCTCTAGGGGTTAGCAGCCATTGTTTGGGGTTGTTGTAGGTTTTAAGTTCAACAAGTTTGGGGTGCTGTTGCCACCGCGTTGTATTCGGTACTGTGGGCCTCTGGTTACAGCCTTTTTTTATAGTGAATCACATTGCCGTATCTCTTTGGTTTTGTGGTTTAAGGGTTGGATCAGGATCTAGGCGTAGGGTTTAGGTTTTGCAAAATCAGTGCCTTTTCTGTAAGCCCGAGCGGAACACAGAGAACTGACGGCTGTTGCCTGACATTTTGACGACGTTCTGTTGATGGACAAAATCCTGCATGACCCTAAGGACTCTAAACTATGGGAATTATGGTATATTCCTTATTCTGGGTAATGCAGGATTTTGTCCATCAGCAGTATCATAAGCAATGCTTATTGCCTTGTGCTTTCTGTTGCGGAGTCTCTCCAAGTTGACATATGGGAGTTCCCGAAAATTAGGGGTACTTTATTTGGGGGTCCTTGCAATAAGGATCCTACTGTTTAGGTGGCTATATTGGGGTCACCTATTTTCGGAAACTCCCATATATAGGACTTAAGCATGAAGCACTGCGAGTTCTCATTGATCTTCTTTCCACCCTTGCTGCAAATCTTGTGATTTGGTCTTGCTGCCGTCTGAGTGACTGGCATTTCGAGCTACCGGCGCACATCTTCCGTCAACTGCCCACTGGAACCCTCACCGTCCCAGTCATCAAAGGCTCCCAGCTCTCAGCATACTGATTACCTGTATTATGCTGTGATGACCACGATGATGACGACCGAGTCACCATGATGTTCATGCTGATGCCGACAGTGACGGTAAACTTCATGATGGCGACAGTGGTGATGATGTTCATGGTGATGGTGATCATCTGCCTGCTCATTTCTGCAAGTGATTGTGTTGATTTGCAGTGGCGAGGAGGCGACCGACAAAATTGTTGCTACACAGACCTTTTTTCACCGAAACCTTGTTGAGCCATGTAAGGGCCTCAGTAATTAGAATAGGGTTTTGGGGCCCATGATACTTTTCATTTATAATAAGGAGCCCCCAACATAGTACAAACTGAACTAACTCGCCCGAACCCTGATTCTTAATCATGCCTCAACCATGAACTCTTACAGTCCCGAAGACCTGAAATACTTAAACCCTCCAGAACCCCGAACCCCCAAAACCACCTGCACCAACACTGTCTTCGCTGCCCGCCTTGTCAGGTTAAGTTCCCAGAGAACCAATACCCCTTAATTAAGGAATATACCTTAAATTAAGAGGCCTTAATATTATGATTTAAGGTATATTCCTTAATTAAGGGGTATTGGGATCTCTGGGTTAAGCATTTTGTTGTTGTGCTGTGGGGCCTTAGCTAAGTGTTGCGGAATAGATGCCAATCTCTGTGACATGCTTCTACTGTCGTTCCAGGATCCTTCTCGAAACCCTAAGCCCTAAACCCACCATAGACTAGCGTAAACCCACCCTAAACCCTAAACCCAGCCTAAACCTCAAACCCAGCCTAAACCCGAAGAAACCTTTTCAGAAGCCTTATAGAGCGCTTCGAAAGATCCGAGATGCCCAGGTCGTGGACACCTCTCTTTCGTCTGGGAGGCTCAGGGTTTAGGATTTAGGATTCAACGGTTGTTAAGGGTGTAGGGTTCTATCATAGGGTTCCCTTTAAGCGTTCCGTTGAGAGGTTAGGGTAGGGGGTTAACAGAGATTTGGGTCCTTCTAAGGGTTTGGGATTCCGGGTTTAGGGTTTAGTGTAGGGACCTTAACAATTAGAATAGGGTCTTGGGGGCTCTTTATGAAAATTATAGTACAGTATGCCCCCGAACCCTCTACTAATTACTAATTACCAATACTATTTTGGGGTTTAGGGTTACGGTTTAAGGTATTCCTCTCTGGCTTTTCATAGCTTGTCCTTTGTCGAGGTCCTCTAAGCCCTGCATCCTTGATAGACACTAGACGGACCTCTGACGGCAATATAGGGGCCTTAATAAACACCGATGGATCCTTTATAGTAACCCTTAAGGAACCCTTTTCTAATCATTACGGCCCCCTTCATTACCTCTTATCGTGGTTCGGACAAAAGGACGAAGGGTAGAGGGGCCCTTGATTGTTTTCCACGAATGGCCTCTACAGAATGTTTCTTCATGCAGCCCCGTGGGACCGTTATAATGTCTTATACCCTAAACCCTAGATCCATCTACGCCCTAACCCCTAGACTCTATCAACCCTTACAAAGCATTATACTACCTTGTGTAGCCCATACCCCACTACTATCCGCATCGAACCGTTATAGACCCTTACTTAAAGGCTCATGGGACTTAGTAAGTAAGGTTATAAGTAGGTTATAATTAGGAGAACCCCACTTAGGGGACTTATAACCCCAATTATAACCTACTTACTAAGTCCCATGATCCTTCAAGTAGATCCCAAACCCCTAACCCCGGGAAGAGGTCGCGCTGTCGCCCGATGCCGACTTCCTGGCAACCGCTTGCGAGGATGGGTGGCGCGGAAGCAAGAGGAGGAGATGTGAAATAGAGGCTTTGTCTTGGTGTAAACTTGTAACATAGAATTGGGGTTCCTTACTACAATTATACTATAAAGGGATGCGGAAGCAAGAGGAGGAGATGTTGGATTCAGGCTTTGTCTTGGAGCGGGCTTGAATGTATAGGGCTTCAATTCCTCATAGGGATCTTCTGCCGGGTTCTGTAGGGTTCATGCCGGTTGAGATTCGGGCTTTTGGTTCAGTCTACCTACAATCGCAAAAAAACCTGATACTCGTGCCTGGGTAGTTGGAGCGGTTTTGCGGTCCACTCTATTCCCTAATTCTGTGCCGGCTGAAACGGGAAATCAAGCTGCATTCTTCAGATCCCTGGAATCATTCGTAAGCCATGCTTGGGGGGTCGGGGGACTTAGTAAGTAGTTAGTAAGTAGACTTATGAGTACCCAAAGGGACCCTAATTGCGGTTAAGGTACTTATAAGTCCCTAGAATAACCAGTTACTAAGTCCCCCGACCCTCCAAGTGAACCCTCAACCCTACACCGTAAACCCTCAGCCCCTAAGCCGAGTCTCTGGAAGAAAGAGTTCGCCTTGTCTTTATCGGGGCGTTGCATTTAAGGAGGGATCTCCTTAAGACTGCAAGGGCTT